GAATTCTAATGACTGATGTCACTCTGCCAGCGAATGATACTCGATTCACCTCTTCCTCTTCAGTCACTGTTCCTGGCATCGTTGAGTTCGTCTTGCACCCTCTTCACCTTCCATACGAGGTCTATTACGGCTGACCATTCATTGTTAGCGAGTGTAAGCCCTTCAATTGGTGGCGACGGTATTCCAATGAAAGGCCTAACGTAGGTACTCCAGGAGAAATTTGCCCTTAGTCGTTGAAGTCTTCTCTTCTCGTCATGCACTATGTTCGACGCCCGCTGCCAACAACACCCTTTTTCGTCTTCTTTAAACCTACGTTGCGGCACGTATATCCCAACGTCATACTCATCAAGCTCGGTAAAGTAGTAAGTGAGAACGTACATACCATCTAACCCCCACCCTTGACTCTTTAGACCTTCATATCTCACGATCTCATAGGGGATCACTGCTCTCTTCGATATAGAGTTAAGGGAACGGACCAACTTCCTCGACTTCCCCTCATCTAGTCTCCTACACCTCCTCATCCTTGGTCAACTCCCCTAGCATGGCTTCTAATCCTGCTCTTGGTCTTGGAAGCATTCTCTCTCTTGGTCTCCCTTGCACTAATCCTTCACTGCCCTCACGACTCCAATCAATCTTCCTCTGTCATCTCTTATCTCGTGCTCACCTTCTACTCCGAACAGGCCTGTGTCAAGGTAGAGTTCCCCTTCTTGATCTCGTAGGCAAGAGGTTCCTCTTTTAATCTCTATCACCCCTGTTTCATCAGATCGAACTCTCCTACAGATCGACGTGCCTAGAGTACGCAAGTCCTCCTGGGTCCATTCCGTCAAAAGTCTGAGCAGCTCTTGGGACCTCCACCTATCATGGTCACGCTGTCTTAGTTCGCTTGATATATCCCCCCCAGGCTGGCTATTCTCGTTCCCTCTGGCCCTTCAGGTTATGGTGCCGGTTTATGAAATCAACTATTAGACCTCGACCGATCCCTATCAATGCTTCGTAAGGAATCCGCGGCCTAGGTAAGTCTTCAAAGATCCTGATTTCGGTACTCCAAACGACTTCTTTCCTTAAGGAAAGGAGCCTATCCTTCTCGTCCTCCACCACTTTTCTCGCTGATGCCAGCAACGTCCATACACTAAATTTTCTGACCTCTCAGTTGGTAAGTAAATGCCTACGTCTCTTACCTCAGTCCCTAAGAAGCGAGCGGTCATGACATAGAGGCGGCTTAGTCCCCATGCACTGTCGACCATCTCATAGGCTTCCACCTCATACGGAAACTCCTCCCTTCTTCCTAGGGTACTCAAGGATGCACACACCGCATCAAACTTCTCGTGCGGCGGTCGGTTCCCAACGATGATCTTGTTATCCCACTCCTCAAGTTTCTTTGCAGACTTTTTATGCCTTACTCGTTCATGGCCCAGCATTTTTGCCACGCCCACCTAACACAACCGGACTCGTTCCCTGACCAGACGATAGTATTCCCTCCCGGAGGTCCCTAGTCTCTCCACCTTCAGTAGATAACTGATCTCGGTTTGGTTGGTAATTACCCTCAAAGCCGATTCCCTCATACGATCCAGATAGGGTTGTATGAGTTCAAGCTCTTCAAACCCAAAGAGATCTATATTAGGAATTCGGAGGGTGCCCTCAACCTTTACCATTCTCCTTTCTACTATGACCCCGAAGGAGAACTGTTCCCTAAGACCCGGCATCCTTACTGACCCCAACTCCTTGCTCTGAGCGCCATATTAATTACAGGCTCCCAATTCCTGCCGTCAGTAAAACTGTTAGGTAGACTAGGTTCGGGAATACCGTAAAACAACACAAGGTTCAGGTCACTAAACACCTCTTTCCCTTTCTTCTCTAACTCCCTCCTTTCCTTACTGATTATGTTTCTAATCCAGTTCTTAAGCGACTCACGATCCGTCCCTCTTTCCCTTAGCAGCGGCACGTGTGGGCGGATGTCGTATCCTCCCGTGTCGAGATGCTTTATTACCAAGACATAAGCTTTCCCCGGAGCATGACTTTCTTCTAGAGATATACAACTCTCTATTTTGTAAGGGAAGGCCCCCCCACTAGTAAAGGGGACTAAGGCGTCCAGGGCAGTCGTAATCCTAGCGCAGTAACCAGCCATTTCCCATTTTCTATCGTCTTCTCATTCCCGACTTGCACGTCCCTCGACATAGAGTTCCCTACCATGCTCACTCTAGGCCCCCAACCGTGGCCATTGCACTTCCCACATTTCCTCTTCGTTGACGAATAACGGTTCCTCAGGCCAGTCTTCCTGCTGATGCTCCTCTTCCTCGTCCTCGTCCCAGTTCCCGACTCGCCTATAATACGAATGCAGCTCGAAGAACCCCAGGAGAGACGCCTCCCTAACCGATGGGTCGAACCCCCTTCCACTAAACAGCTCTGCCAACCCTGCTAGATGACTAGGTGGCTCCCGTATACCCCTCTCGAGGGTGGCCCAGAATTCAACCGGTTGGTCCTGGTCAGGTGCTCGCCTCAAGCTCCTAGGTGAAGCTGCTCTAATCAGCTCAACTAGTTCTAGACCTTCGTTGCCAAACCGGGGCCCCTTCTTCCAGAGAGCGTAATAGCCGTGGTGTTCGTCACCACTGTGTAGGAGGTCTTGTATTTCTAGAAAATTTAGGTGTACCTGGACCAACCGGTCAAGCCCTCCAAGATACTCCTCCAAGACAAATAGCGGAATGGGGAGCCTCAATGCCTTCTCCGAGTGTGGTAGGAACCCTCCCCGAGCTAGACGGAGAGACACCTTGACTGATCGAAACGCTCCCCTTAAGCGGAGCTCCTCCTCCCGGTATCTCTCCACCACGTCCTGAAGTACGTCTATAGCGGGAGTTTCGTACTCCCACGTATACTGATCAAGACTAGGTATTACCCCAAGGTTCTTATCGCGCGTGCCTTGCTCCACCGCCCTACGAATGATTTCCGAGAGTACCGACGTTTGGTAGTAGAGGAAACCCTTAACCGTCAAGTCCACCGATCCCTGAACCACTCTCCCTCGTCTATCCCTACCGAAAGCCACAAGCGGCACCACCAACAACCAAACGCCCGACCGCAACAGTATTGACCTCCAGGGCCTATCCACTCTTCCGACCCCTGCCACCAAAGTCGATCTACCTGGTAATGTAAACTCCACCCAATCTTCGTCCACGAATTTCGGCTCTCTGTATCCGAACTGTCCCAATTCTACCGGGTGCTCGACCCTACTGTGAGACATCTAGGCGTCGTCTGTCCTTCCGTTCAGTATCCGGGCCCTATCTACCTCTCCACTTATGTCGGCCTCTCGTAGCTCCTCCCGGATGAGGAATACAATACGGCGTAGCTCTCTACGAGTGGGAACTGGCCTGTCCAAGCAATAACTAAGGAGCCACGCAAGCTCGACAGTAGACGTCCCCAGTCGGACCGCTCTCTGTACTACTGTTAGAAGTCTCTGGTGCACCACTCTGGTACCGGAAATCAGCCCCGTCAAGAACCTAGGGACCGTCTCCGACCTCACAGAGGTCGCTCTAGGAAGCTCCCAATCATATGCAAACCTCACAGTGTAGACTGCAACGGTATCTACTCCACTCCCCTGAGCGAACTCTCTAAAGATCCGGGCACCAAACCTCCGACCTAACGCTGCCAAACAGAGGAGGGTGGGATAACGCCTGGCAGTATCTATCACGAGACACTCCCACTCTCTCCCCGACAAGTACAGCCTCACGCTCACATCTGCTCGTAAAGGCGCCGCCTCTCTGTCTCTCCTGACACAGGCCCTGGTTTCAGCCTCTATTCTCACCCACAAGAAAACAACATCTCGGACTATTAATCCCTCCTCTCTGGTAGGTCTGTACTTGCTCTTCCCTTCTAGCAGCAAACTGATCATGTCGCAAGAGCCCCTCTCCCCGACCAAGGATATTTGAGAAGCCAACTCGATATGTACCATTCCTAATCAAGAAACCAAGTGGAACCCTCAATAAATCTCTCCCTGTGCGACTCTCGGACCGTTGAGCTCACCGACCCCCACGACAGGCCGCCTCTGATCCTTCCTGTAACCCTCCAAGACGTCAACAGGCCTAGGAGAGAGCCGCCCTCTGGCGTATCTTACCCTACCCTCGTGTCAAGGAAGAGGTCGGATCAGTGTGCCATCATCGCTGTCCTACCTCTCTCACCGCGACCTGAGCACGAGCCGGCCAACTCATGTGCTCGAGGGTGGACCGAAGTCACACGCGGATAAGAAGGCGGTGTCTCACTCGTGCATCCTCACTCCTATCCATGCCTCTACTCGTTCCCACCTCAGGCATGGTCTCTCATCCCGACTCGTGTAGTGTATCAACCCGCCCAGCTATCCATCAGGATCAGCTAGCCTATCTAATCCCGCCCATCTCCTTGCAATTCGGGGCGCTTCTCCCCTCCCCTTGAGACCCTTCAGGTTCTTCCCCTGCTTTCAATTTTCTCTCTAGGAATTGGTATGAGGGTGGACTGACAAATGGGGAGGGAAAATCAGAAGGACCCCTCTCAATCATAAGGAAATAGCATAAAGGAAATGCGAGACGAAATCACGAAATGCGAAAATCACAATCTCACCAGATCGATCGCAAGTTGACAAAGTGTCGCATCGCCCGGTATCTCGTCGTCTGCTGACCACCGGTGGGTTGATCGCTCGTAGCATGAACTGGTCTCCGTCGCAGTCTCGTCCTCTCACGTACCCGCGGTTACAGGCGGACCGAAGTCCCTAGAGGCAGCCTTCCCCGGCAATGGCACCACTGTCGACTGGTAGAAGGGCTCTGCCGGCCTCCAACACAAACCCTGTGACTCACGCCGCGTCTGTCACCCACGGGAGGGTTGGTTGGGGCTCCTGTAACCTGCACAAGTCACGTCAGTACACATCCAAGACAAAGTGC